GGCGTGGGGCATGGGGCGGCGGTACGTGGGGCGCAGCGCACTCAGAGCCTAAAGGCCGGGCCGGGGACCGCCAATTAGCCAGGCTCACCGGACTGCACTCCCGCGTGGCGGCGGGGCGCGGGGCGTTGGGTGTGGGGCGTAGGGGCGCAGCGACTCCCGGGCCTAAAGGCCGGGCCGGGGGCCGCCAATTAGCCGGGCTCTTGAGCCGGACTGCACTCTCGCTCTCGCGCGCTAAAGGGAGTCGGGGGGTCGGCGGCGGCTGGGAGTGGCTTATGATGGCCGGACATCCTGGACCCGGGCTGCTGGGGACCGGTCGATGTCCATGGGGTTTGCGTTCCGGTCGCGAAGGCTCACGTCGTGGCGGCCTTTTATATGCCTCTCTCGGATCCTCCACGGGTCTTTACGTCGAAATAAAGTACACAAAAACATTTATTTTGGGATGGTCGTTATATTTTTTTGTTGTGAAAACTGGGACACAGTTGATCATGTAATTAGATCAAGACAAGGTTTGCTCAGTAGAGATTGGGAAGAATTTACAGGTGTCTGATTTTTCAGTCTTTTCTTAGTAAAGGCAAGGCAAAACTATAGTTGATGGTTAATAAAGCTAATTTATAATTTAGCTAGCTATTTTTGTCGGTAACTTTTTTTTTCTCTTGTGGTTGCAGATCTATACAAACATACTACTAATATCACGTTTTGATGATGAAACCCAAACAAAAAACAACAACAACCATCTTTTAATGAATTATAACAGTTCTATTAAATTGGATTGAAATCGGCACAATGAAGTGCACATGTTCAAACACAAGAGTAAATAGAATGTACTCTTAGGGAAGCTCTCCAAATTTACAACAAAAATTTAATTTTGTTACTTTCTAGGCATGCTGTGGTCCAACCAAGATTTGACTCTGCAGGGATCATACACACAGCATAAAACTATGACATCAACCCAAGGACCTTGAATGGACCACAGCTACATTGACTATAAATTTTGACACATTAAATCCATGCAGATTAAATAACATTTTAAAAATATGTCTCAGTTCTGGAACAAAGAACATAAATTTACAATTCTGCACTAATTCCTTCTTTTTTTTTCAAAATTCATTTCACATAAATAACTTTGATCTTAGTCATTAAATTTCCAAGATTAAATGGAATCCTAAACCTGTAAAATTGCAACCAAGTCAATTTGTTACATACCGCTGTACACATTGGTGCACATTGGTACTTTTTAAGTTATCAACATATCTTCAAATTTTACTAAAGAACAAAATAAACAAAGAAAAACAAACAAATAATATTCAGTGAATAATAAGTTTAGACAGTTGTCGTTTAGCCCACAGAAAAATAAACGGGTGTACAAAAAATGTGATTGGCAATACAGAATAAGACACAATTGCTGAAAATTCTTCAAAAAGTAATCAAGCACTAAGATATGTTGAATGATAGAAAAGAAAAACTCAATCTACAAAAATTGATATTGTAAAATTGATTGTGTAAACACTTTGTTGATGTTGTACATCACAAAAGTAACAATGGTTTAGAGAGAATTACTAGGAACGTATGATGGCGGGCTGGTAACTATCATAAGCTGATTGGAGAATAAATTACATATCAAGTTTGGAAATTTGAAATTTTTTGAATTCAAGCATAACTTCATGCCAGGTCTGCAAAAATTAAAATAACACAACAGAACACTAAGCATTACAACCTTTTAAACATGATGAGAATATGATTAAAATGCTTCTTTAAAGCTATAATAGAAGTCAAGACAACTGAGTTACAGTTTACTCATTTTGCTGAATTTCTGGAAGATTGAAGGTAAAACCAAACCAAAAATAAGCCACAGTGACGCAATGGCACATACATAAAGAATGATTAGGCTCAATTTGCAGATGTACCATTTCAGGTCGAAGGGAAACCAGTAGACACCAGAAGAATGTCTAGTGGCTCAACTGCCCCAACTTCAGCATACAACAACAGCATAAAAAGGATGAGGACACACTGTTTGACAATGAACCTCACAATGCCATTGATTCAGAGTAATAAATTTCAAAAGGATCTAAGAAACTGGTACAAATGATACAAATTTGAAGAAATCAATTTTTGAAATCTTGACAAGTTCATACCAAATCATTGTTCAAATTCATTTCTGTTAAATAATGCTGCTACTTGCAATAGCATGAACCAGAACTTGCTACTTGTACTGAGGACAATGTTGTCGAACAATATTGCGGGATACTTCAGAATGACCTAAACAAAAGTTCAAAAAATATAATTATAAAATAAATATGATCTCAGAAACAAAACATGAAAGTCTTTTTAAAAATTGGATAGTTTTCGATACTTACCTAACTGAAGCTCCAAATATAGAGCAAGCATAACCACATGTGTTGGTACTTCACAATCTGGGCCTCTGGCATTAAATACTCGTTTCAAAGTTTCACCAGCCTTGTCAAGTTCTCCTCTAGTAGCAAATGCTACAGCTAGATTATATTGAAGGACAGCTCGTGCAGTGCCAATTTTATCTGGACACCAGCTCTGCATCATACGTTTTGCTTCACATGGTCCATCAGTATCTTTGTTTGGGTCACTCGCTAGCTCTTTTTCAATTTCTGTTTCCCCTGGATACACTAGACTAACATCTTTGATATTGTCAGGATTCAGATGTTCGATGGCATCCGATATTTTATTGCACATTAAAAATGCCTCCGCAGCATACAAGTGGCCCAACAGTCTGGACAATAAGAGAAATTCAATGTAAGTACAGTAGTGTTTCAGTAGTGAATCAGATATGATCGGGTGGCACTTACTTGTGTGCACCAGACAACTTTGGCTGTCTCAACAATTCTTGTGCATATTTCAAGGCCATTATATAGTCTCCGAGACATAGTGAAACATAGGCACTATTAGTGAGTACAGAGCATCGGAGACTTTCTACTTCTGCCTCAGATAAGGGTGAAGATGGAGCACCATAACATGTTCTCTGTACAGGGATTTTAGCAGCACCTCCTGGAAATAAACAAAAATCATTTGATTATGTGGTTGAAGTTGAGTAAACCAAAGAAACTGAAATAATTTCAAAAGTAGACTTTTACCAGATCCAAATCCTAGGTTTGATCCAGGCCCACCGAGAGAGCCAAGACCTGGTATATTCAGGACTCCTGGCGGACCCGATAAGTGACCACCAATGAGCTTGAGAGACACAACTGATGGATGCTCATTATTTCCATTCTTCACACTGGCACTGAATTCATTTAGGAGTGAAAGAGCATTTCGTAAGCATAGTGAGGCAAACTCGAGTCTTGTTGAAGGGATTGCACTAGAAACTTCCTCTCCCCTGGTTAAAACAGAAACAGAAACTTAGAATGGTTCCAATAGCTGTAAGTTCAAGATAGAATTTTCAGGGTCATACTTGGGAAGTGTTTCACGTGCAAGCTGAGGGGAAAGAATGATTTTCTTATGAATGTTACTTCCAACAACTCCTTGAACCATATCTTGCCTTCGGTGTGCAATATTAAAGTCCTCATCATTTGCCTGGAGGAAAAAACAAGTATCAAAACAACATTAGTATAATTTGACATAAAAAGGAAAAAACACACTGATTTGAATTAAATTTAAATGCCATTTCAAAATTTTTTGAGAATTACCTTCTTATGTACCATGATGCAGCACTCAGCAAGGCGCAACCACAGGCGAGGGTTCATATGAAACACTCGCACTACATCAACAAGATAGTCAAAGGCTTGTGCTGGTAGCCCAGTGTGCAGAAGAGCAACTCCGAGGTTATATTTAATTTCCAGATTATGATTGAAACCCAATGTAAATAATGGTTGCCCATTAGATCCTTCTAGAATGGGGTGAACATGACATAATGTAATGTTGTAAAGATTAGGTTAAAACAACTTTCAGTAATGGACACATTACCAGTTTCAGTCATCAAGGACCTCTTTGCATCTTCTTCCTCTGACAAAGCTTTCTTAAGATAAAATGTGCTCAAGTTTGGTTTTGCAATATAGTGATGCACACAGCCCATATTATTATAGTACAGAGCAGGAATGTGTTCTCCAATCTCTCTGTGCATAAAAAGAAAGAAACAATTTGGGTCAATCAACTGCTAACAAGTATATGAGTCGAACACTAAAATGGAACATAGCTACTACCCCATAATCACTTACTTGAAAGACTGGATATTTCCAGAAAGAGTATTTAGCACTCTCATAGCTCTGCGGTGATTCCCTCTAAGATATTCTAAATTAGCTCTTAAAAATATTGTGGGCAAATTCTAAGGTAAAGTAAGAATGGAAATTAGATTAGATTAGATCATGAAGGCTGTAAACAAAAATTAGGTAGATTTGCATTAAAAATTACATTTTTTACAGATATGCTGTTTAATTCTCTTTTGGCAGCATTTAATTGATGTGTTTTCAATAAACAACGGATTTTATAATGCAGAAGCCTTAGCTTCATAGGGTCTGATTCTCCATCCACAAGTTCAATCAGCTGCAAAAAATAAGAAACATAACTCTGTGCACCACTCTACGGTTAAAGATAGAATAAAAATGGATGATCATACATGTTTTTCTTTGTCGCCCTTTTCTGAGCTCTTAATGTCCTTTTCAGCAGAAAGTTTACCCATTCCAATGTTAGGAGCACAAGCAAATTGTTGCTCAATATAACCTAATTGGGGTATGGCCTTCTCAGGCTGATGTGTTTGCAATAACAGTTCTAATAACAGCATACTGACTTTTTGAGCCAGAGTTTCTTCTGTAAATAGACAGTAAAAGACAAACATTTTAAAAAACAGTGGTCAGAATCAGAACAATTGAGCACATCATAAGTAGAACTTACCCATAGGCTCAATGAAAGAAAAGACTTTACTAATAAGTTGGAATGCACTTGCATATTGTTTCAGATGAAATAAAATAATAGCTTGATTGTAATAAAAAATGCAGTTGTCAACGTCTTCTAAAGTGCTCGCATCTTCTAAATTAACATGTGCCTGGTGAATTCATACAGAAAAAATATATAGGCAATCTAATCTAAATTTAAATAATGTTAAGGATAGATGAAAAAACTATACCTGAGCACAGAGGGAGTTAACAACCTTGCGGAACTGATCAGTTTTTCTTAATTCGCTCTTGTAATATTCCGCAATAGCTTTATTGTGGACCAGTTTCACATCATGTCCACAAGATGCCTCCAACTTTAGGAGACTCTGAAGACACGATGTATAATTGCCCTTGTTAAATTCTGAGAGAGCTAGTTGAGCAACTTCACGATCTTGTTCAGTGAAACTGTATCCAGTAGAATCCCCACCATTCTTGTCTCCTGACACAGGGGAATCTTTATCGACCATTCTGAAGAAAATTCTTGGTACAGCCTGGTGACATGATAATAATTGGTTGGGTAATTAAAAGCTGCACAATTTAAAACAATTAAACGCAAGAAGTTACGAATTGAAGTTGCAAGAACGGTAGAATGTTGTGAACAAAATAAGTCAGGACAAGACACTATAACCTATGAGAGAGGTGACATCTGAATAGATTTAGTGCAATGTAAAGGTGAAAACTCAGAACAGTCATAGAAATATGAGTATTTATATTACCTAATTATAATCAACGTTCAGGTTCAGGAATATTACTTCCATAATTTTAGGTAAAATTTTGCGCTGACAACCCGGCAGTTCACTTTACAGAAGTTTGATAGCTTTCTTCTTCCTGCTTGTTTTCTTCCTCATCATACAAACAACAATTTCAATCTGTTTTTGTAATATTTTATTTTCAAGATGTCCCTGAGGATAGAAGTTTTGAATGATGAAATTTCAAAATTAGGACGTTGAGTGGATTTTCATTTAAAGTTTAAGGACATGCAACTGGATAGTTTTACAGCTTTTAACTTTTTAAAGCAGCGGGCTGAAGTTAGACAGCAATTGCAATCGCTTCACCGACCGTGATTTCTAATATCGGAGGAAGGGGCTCGGGTGCGAGACTAGCCATCTCTCTTTCAATGAGAAATTACTATGGATGGAACTGGGGGAGTGACAAACACACGACACCTCACCCTCTTTCATGCCCGCACTATCCGCCCCCTTTACGACTTGAATCTTCTAAAAGCCCGTCACGCTGCTTAGTTGCGACTTTGTACCGACCGCACGCGACCTGCGGCCTACATGGGAGTCCAAGGGCGCGTGCCACGCCGAGTCACGCCCCCGCGGAGGGACGCCTGTCATGCAGCTGTCAGAGCGCCGGGGAGGTAGGCAGCTTATCGCGCGCAGCTGTGCTGAGCGGGGCAGGAGCGGGCGCCCCGTGAGCGGCGCGGGGCGCCAGGAGCGAAACAGCTGCCCCCGCTGCACGTGCACGCCTACCAGAAATAGCGCCAGGACGGCGGGGCGGGGTGGGGCCGCGTGCGAGGCGCTCCTCGTCAACCCTCAGGGCGCGGCCCGCGAGCGACAAGGACGGGGCGCAGGGCGCGAGGGGCGCGCGACCACGCAGCCCTCTCCCCCCAGGCCGTCCGGCGGGTCCCTAGTCGTTAGTAGTGTACCCGGCGTGCTCGCCCACCCAGCATGCTGCGCGTCGTGGCCCTCCTGCTGGCCGTCACCCTCGCCGTCATCCTGGCCACGACGGCGCCGTCCGTCTGCAAGGACGAGGACTACGACGACGCCCCCACCCGGTGCCAGTAGAAGGTGTCGTGAACCCCCCCGGGGCCTCGGAGGAAGACTTCCGTGTCTGGGAGCCGCGTAGCTCGGGCGCCTCGCAGGCCGCTCGGACTTGGTACCACACGGACTATTTACAGTGCTGAGGTGTTGAGGACCCGCCTGCAAGCGCCGCCGCCCCGCCGCGGCCACCACAGCTCAAACCCAAGACTGAAGAAGAGTAGTGAATAAACAGTTTCAGGCGAATGTCCGCGGGACATTTCTAGACTCTGCTAGGTAGATAGAGATACGTAAAATAAATATTATTAGGAATGTCACAGAGCGTGAGCGGTTTTCTTTGATGTATCCACTGGATGATCGGCTGGAGAAGGAAAGTAGCGTTTTCTCTGTGAGAGAGGCTCGATCACGGCTCGGCACGGCGTGGACACGCTGATATAGTGTGTGATAGCGATTAGCAGTTTAGCGCCATGGGCCGCGGTGTCCATCACGACGGGGACGAAGTAGTCGGCGAGCGAGCTGCCCGCTGACTGAGGCCCGCACTACAGCAGCACCCCCGGGCCCCACCATGTCGCCCCTCGCCCTCCTGCTCGTCTTGGGCCTGCTGGCGCGGCCGGCGCAGCCCCAGGACGACGAGCAGTAAGTATACTGCCTGCATGGTGTGTGCGCGTTGGCTGCGCGGCGCGGCGGAGCGCTACATGGACGTCGCCGTCGTGTTCTAGGGTGACCAAGTGGGCGCGCGAGCTCGGCGACGAGCTGTGGGAGCTGGGACGACAGATCGCCAAGCCCGACGAGATCAAGAGGGTGAGTACACGCACCAGGCCCATCAGGAAGCCCCCCGCAGCTGTTGGAGCACTCTGCCCCCCGTATACACACTTGCACGTTATCTAGGGGGCGTCCGACAGGGCGTTAGGAGCAGGCTCTCCTCTCCCCGCACAATACCACCGCTTTGTGACCAACCTACCAACCAGCGTCTGATTTAATCTCAAACAGGCAGGCAACACAAGCACACATGTGCACACACTTGAGCACACCAGGCAGGCCTAGTGCATGGTCCAGTGTGCTGTGCTGCCCGGCCGGGGAAAAGGGGGGGGGGGTATGTTGAAGGGTTCTGCAACGCGGACACCTCGGCGACGCAATCCGTCCTAAGGGGAGGACGACGGGACCGACGACGACAACGAGCGGCGAGCGACGCTGTGGGCGCTGCTGTGGGGTCGGTGACCGAACAGTGGTGGCCTTTTTACTACCGCTATTTAAATTCGCACCTCTAGGAGGCAGGCGGTGGGGGACGGAAGTGCAGGGTGTGTTGAGTTTTACGTACTTCAATAAAGCATTCCGGTAAAGCTGAAATGCAGAAGAATGCAGGGAACAAGAAAACGGAAATCACCATGTTAAAGCAATTTCTTGTACCCCGCATTCCTCTGCATTTCAGCTATACCGGAATGCTTTATATGTAATTTTCTCGAGAATGACGTTTTGAGACGAAGGCTCGTGTCTCTCGCGCCCTTTGGCCGAGCCATGCCCTTTCTGCCCCGCCCAAGCCCTGTGCCCTAGCAATTGATCCGTTTGCTCAATTGCTCGCCACCGTGTGTTTGAGTTCGGGGCGGGGCGGCGCGGCGGGGGCGCTATGAACATCGCGCCGTCTCAGAGGTCGTGGGTCGCAGATGAGGTGGGCGATTAAACAAAACTGCGGGGCGCTTTGATGATGGCACAATGGCACATCCTGGATAAAATTATTATCTCTTAATTTTAATCTAGCCTGAAAAGGAAACATTGTTTATTGGGCATTGGGGTGTTGTTCTCGTGCGAACAATCGAAAGCCATCTGTACAAGGTCGCTGATTAACCCCGCACACTTCTGTAGTTAGACTGTACCGCACGCAGGAGTGCGGGCGGGCTTGCCTATCGCCCCTGTCCACGGCGCCTATTACGGGCCGGGCGAGGAGGCAACCCGCTCGCACTCCTGCGTGCGGTACAGTCTAACTACAGAAGTGCGCGGGGTTAATCAGCCACCTGGTATAATGACTTTGTGAGGGTAGGGGCAGCAGATGTGTGGACATGTCACTGACGCCAGCGTGTGGTGTGTGTTCGCACAGGAGTACAGCCGCCTCAACGCGCGCACCCTCATCAAGACGGGCGACGCGATGCTCAACGACATCGTCGGCAACATGGAGCGCATGCTGCAGCAGAAGATGGACGCCGTGCAGTGCCTGATGGAGCGCGCCGAGGAGAGCGCGCACAGCTTCGAGTACGACGACTCCCGGTACTGGCTGTACCACAGCGCCAAGGCGTCGCCCGTGTTCCTGAACGGCGTGCCGCTCAAGAAGGAGGAGGAGGAGGAGCCGACGGAGAAGCCTCCGACCGAAGCGGAAACCAAGCGGAAGGAGCTGGAAGAGGTAACGGGTGGTGTGCCAGTTGAAGAAAAGTATAAGTTAAAAATTAATCACGTTACTTACTTGAAAACCATTCACAACTTAGCTGCTCGATACATCCGAAGACGATGAAGGCATCTGGCGCTTCGGCTGGGGCAACTACACCAAGCCCGAGTACCTGGACCTCTGGCTGACAGAGCAGTACCCGCTGTTCAACGGCATCCCTATCAACATGACCCACAGCAGCGTGCACGTCCCGGACAACGTGTTCGACCACGGTAGGCGGCGGGGGCATAGAACCAATAGAACGAGGAGCTGCAGCGATAGTGTAGGGGATGTTCCTTGAGCGAGTGTGCGCTGTTGCAGGACCCCTCGTCCAGGGAGGCCTGCAATGGTCCGAGGACTTGAACGAGGTGTTCAAGAACAACTACGCGGCGGACCCATCGCTCAAATGGCAGTACTTCGGGCACTCGACGGGCTTCATGCGGATATTCCCAGGTGAGGCCAACGAGTGCCTGCCCCTAGCGTGAGAGGGTGCTCCGGGTGCCCTACCCGTTACTGACTTGCTTCTCCCCACAGCGATTCTCTGGCACAGCGCTCAGATGAAGGACGAACAGTTCGGGGAGGATGAGCGCGAGGACGAGTCGTATGACGCCGAGGTGAAGGGCGCCCCGGTCGGCGCCGCGGTCCTGGCCGACGACTCCCAAGTCGTCAAGAGGCAGGTGGGCGCACCTGCACCTGCGGCACCAGCTGCCGCAACTGATGCACCAGCTGCCACAACGGTCCCACCAGCCGCCGCACCTGCAGCACCAGCTGGCGCACCTGTCGGACCAGCCGTCGCACCTACAGGGGTGGCGCCTCCGATCCAGTTCACAGCGGAGGACGACGAGGAGGAGGTGCAGGTCCCCGACCTGTACGACTGCCGCAAGCGCGAGTGGTACCTCGAGGCGGCTACCTGCACCAAGGACGTCGTGATCCTGGTGGACAACACAGGGTCCATGTGGGGTGTGCGCAAGGCCATCGCCCACCTCACCGCCCGGCAGCTGCTCGAGACCTTCGGCTCCAACGACTTTATCAGCGTCGTGCACTACAACGACACGGCCAAGAGCGTCATCGAGTGCTTCGAGGGCACCCTGGTGCAGGGCACGCCCGAGTACAAGGAGGCGTTTAGCCAGGCCCTGGACACGCTGAAGCCCGAGGGGCACGCCAACCTGACGGAAGCACTTATGTACGCCATGAACGTTTTGGAAGACGTGAGTCACTGCGCCCTTTTGGTGTTGCCTGGGAAATGTGTCAATAACATAGACCATAAACTTTCTAAAAACCCCGTTGGTTTTGAGTTTGTTTGTCTTTCGCAATCCTGTTGTAGTTCCGCTCCGACCAGAACTGCCCGGACTCGCACTGCAACCAGGCCATCATGTTGCTGACGGACAGCATCGCCTTCAACATGACAGACTTCTTGCTGCGATACAACCGCGGCGAGAACGACACGGTGCCGGTGCGCATCTTCACCTATCTGCTGGGCAAGGAGGTGGCGAAGGTGCAGGAGATCATGGAGATAGCCTGCCTCAACCGAGGTATGGGTGTCGCCGGTGACTCTGGGGGTTTCGAGTCCGCGCGGACCGCGGCGGCGACAACCAGAGGCGACAACTGCCCCCTAACGCCTCGTCCTGCTTGCAGGCTACTACGCGCACATCCACTCCATGAACGAGGTCCGCGAGCATGTGCTCAACTACATCCCGGTGGTGGCGCGGCCCCTCGTGCTGCAAGAGGTGGACCACCCCATCCGCTGGACTCCGCTGTTCGCCGATACGGCCGTAAGTTCTGCTGGCGCTGGCGCTCCCCGAGTGACCCAAACTTACAGGGATGCTCTCTAGGTCTTACCCGCGTACCTTCGTGGGCAGAGAAAGGGGGCGCCAGCTTTTTCGCCCACCTTTCCCGGTCACTTTTCCACTTTCAAAACCCCGGCGACGCGTTCTCCTTTTCTGCTCGTCCTCGCTGTCAAAGTACTTCCAGGTGGTGATAGGGGTATACGCGGCGCGGTTGGAATCACCCCAGGAGGGGTACTCCTCGGTACTTGTTGCCCAAGGTGTACTCCAAGGACCGCTCATGCAAGGCGCCGAGTGTGTTGCTTGCAGGACCCCAAGATGGACGCGTGGCTGCGGAGAGTCATGTACCACGGCGAGCAGGTGGACCGGCTCGAGGCCCACAAGAAGAACAGCCGGCTGTATTTCAGCGAGCGCAAGGAGGACAATAAGTACATCAAGGACGCGCTGCAGGTACTACTTGACGTCGATACTCTTGCATCCCCTGGGAGCACGAAGTATCGACGGGCCTCGCCTAGCCTTGGGAGAGGTCGTGTGGAGTAGTGCTGTAGTTTGGACGGACACTTGACTTGCCCAATTATTGCAACCCCCGAAGACGGCATGCTTATTTTACCCCGCATTTCCACAGTTTTCAGATTATTATTGGTGCTTGGAATGTTTCTGCACGACGTAGACCTTGTGTTGTAGTCCATAGTGCAGTGTGTAAATGTAGTGTAGTACCCCGCTTTGCAAAGACACCTGGAGTGATTCTGAACACTCTATCTCGACCAACATATCTCTTCCTTTCCTCTGTTGTACATATTTGCACGCTGAGCCCTGAATGTATCAAAGCAGTCGGAGTGACTTGAATTTTTCCCGCTACCAGCACAGTAGTGTGGGGGGCCAAGGTCGGCCGGGCCAGCCCGGGGCCGGGCCAACTACTGGTCCTTCCCCCGGGGCAGCTCCGGGACCCCGGCTCTAACTCTTCCTCACGTGTGACTTCCGACAGGGCGACGACCAACACCCCTCGGCCGAGTTCCGCTACAAGGAGTACCGCATGATGACCGCCGTGTCCGTGCCGGCCTTCGACCGCAAGCTGTTCGAGAGCAGTAACCAGGTAAGCGTCGGCGAGCAGGGTGGGCGGG